TTTGAAGTGTCTGCTAATTTTCGCGAGCAGTGTACATAATACAAATTGCGCGAATGCCTTCCGACGCGTTAGAGTGATCGGAAGTCCAACGAAAATCATAGTCAAATGATTTAATGAAAACCTCAGAATGCTCGCGAGAAGACAATGGATGAAACTTGAATTTTTGCGTAGAGATATACAAAATATCCTCGTTCGATACAGACTTCCTACTCGAGTCTTGTAATGTTAAAGTTCAAGTTACTTGGATGGGTCCTTTAACTGTTTCCCTCCCCGAATTTCGTATAAAATACAATATACGCTTCGACGTTCTGAAATGTTAATCGAAAATCAAGAGAGCTCTAAGTGGTGGTGGCGATTATTCTTATTATAAAGCGTGCATCATTTCAATTACGCAGCCACCTTAAGTCGAGAAGAACAAGAATAAAATACAAATATTCTGACGTCATGCATGCTCTCTCGTCCTTTCCGCACACACGCTGACGTGTATCTATGTGCGAGCGCGCGCCAGCGCCCTCTTATCATATACACACATACTCGGGTGTTTTTCATCAATGACGCTCAGCTGTTAACGCCGGCAGAAAAACTGCTCAGAGGCTCGCTAGTTACAGAAATGCTCGTCGTCTCTCCGTGAATCTGAATTTTCACGGTCAAACTGAACGAAAGAGGGGAAGAAATGTATTTACAAAGTTTCACGCACGCATTAAGTAGACCGCGCATACGTATGACATTAAGAAATCAATAAATAAAATAGCCTGTTCGAAACGGTAGTACTAACTGGCAACGTTACCTGCCTCCTTCTTGAAACAAATGTAGAAATTACAACGAAACGAACGTCAAACTTTCCCTTGAACAAGTGTGCTTTTATATCGTCAGACGCATTCCTCGAAATGTTAAACCCAACACGAGCGTTTGAGATCAACTGCAACGTACGCTTCAACGTATCAGACACATCTTATTTCATATATAAAACTGAATTAACAGAATTAACAAAATTGCTTCTAATAGTAAGTAAATATTTAATAACGCGTATCTGATGGTCTCATTTTGTTCTTGGAAGAAGCTCAAAATCATTCAAAATACTATCATCCGTGCGGTAAACACGAATAATTTAAAGTCATCGTTTCCATTGATGACTGCGAATCCTTATATTGCCACGAAAATTTCTAGGTTGAACATCAATATTTATAGAGTTCGAACATCACCTGAATGATACACGTTTATGAAAAAGATGCAAGACAATAATTATTATAGTACGAATGTTCTAAGATATCAATGTCGATGTAACGAAAGATACAAAGAAAGAAAAAAGAATATCCAGAGTATCGCCGGTCGAGCTATTATTACTAACCGTAACTTGTCAATAAAGTTGTCTTCGATGGGTGTTTCCGCCGGTAGTGAACTCTACAGTCGATTTGCCCGAAGAAGAATACTCAGGGATAAAAAAAAAATTTGATCACCAACGCTTTTTTCGATGAAAGTGTAAAAAAAAACCAGTAAGGTCGTAAGCAAAATCCACGAGCTACGTTCTCTCCGACTGGAAGATTAGTACTCGCAATCAGCTACTGAGCAACGAGCAGTCGCAGTTTCAGAACAGCGCTTGCTTCGTGGTGGGGGTAAAATGTCGTCGACAAAGAATAGCACCAATAAGAAAACTGGATTGCAAAGCTGCAAACCCTAGGCGCGGGAATATGTATTTCACATTAAAATATATATCTTTTCCTAATATAAATTTTACATAGTACATTATTTAATTCTTCCGATGACTAATTACTCTTGGCTAATGTTAACCAACATCGATCACGTGATTTTTGCAATATAAACACAGTATATATACAGTTTGAGAACCACTGATTCATTATGCCGAGTTTCAAATATATATAATATCGCAATAATATTAAGAAAATTTTATTTACAATAAAGCGTGATTCTTTTTTTTTTAATAAAACTAATCTCAAAACATTTAAATACATTTTATAGTAATTTTATAGTAAAAAGAAATTTGTTAAAATTTATCGTTAAAATTATCCATTGACATTAAAGATTAATTGATATTTTGAATTTAAAAAATTCACTTCATTATGTGATAAATTCTTTCCAAAAAAAAAAAGCTACTTAAAAGACATTTAGCTATATACTTATCTCATTTTATCGTTTCACTTAGTGCAATATTCTCAAGAAAAATTGAAAAATGAGTGAATAAGTAATTGAAAGAAATAAAGATCGAAGTCTAACCCTAAATGCCAACTACCACTGAACGCATATGTATATGACCAGATACACTAGACTGCAAAGTAGGACATCAAGTACGCAAAAAGAAGAAAGTCTTTAGAAAAAACAAATCAAAATTCATCGTAGAGTTTCGAACTCAGTAAAGCTGGTAGTAATATAAATTGCGTTCTCTAACGTAAGTTAAACGATAGAGTAAAGCAGAAAATCGATACAACTTTACTGCAATGTAGTATTTTGTTAGTTTCCATCTGTATAACTGTCGTTTAAAATAAATTAAGGTAAATAATATATTCTCTTACCTGCGATAATCAATGACTTGTCTTACACTATGAGCAAACTATCGCGTAATTCAGTTAAATATCTTTTCAAGAACACTGCAGCAATCACTGATGATCACATCGATACAGGGAAACAGCTGCTGCTTTTTTGACAACCGGAACTTGAAAATGGTTAACGTTTTAAAAATGGCGCGAAAATTTGAACGTAAAAATATATGACCAATTTTAAAATAATATGGAAAATTTATCAAATACATACTCCTATATATGTTATTAAAATTAACAAAAGCATTTCTAAAATGTTTCATCCAATATCTGTCATAACTAAAATCTTGTGGTTGCGATAAATCATGTGTCACATAATTTTTATTTGAACGTAAGAAAACATTGAATTAAATATAATAAACGCAACAACCAAAGTATTGATCTTATCATTTTTTTTATATTGATAATGTAATATTTAATACATCATGATATTTGTCTTGCATTGAATGTGAAGTATTTTGATACTAATATGGCTATATTTCAAATGATAAATGAAATTTATGAGTTTGTACATATATATATTGAAATATTATAAATTCGGAATAAAATCGATTAAAAATACGAAATAAAAAAATTTTTATATGAAATAAAATATTTTTGCGTATTTCAATCACACGAAATTATTGTTAATATTACATCATAATGTTCATCACAAGAATTAATAGAAAATCAGTCGCATATTAAATTGTAGGATTTATCTTATCTTTGTTGTAATAAAAATGATTCGAAAAGCGTAATAAGTTCACAGTGAAAGAGAGAAATATATGTTTTTTTAAGCGTAAATGATTACCAGTCTTTTTTATTCTGTCATTTCTATTTATATTGGCAAGTCGCGTTAATTATCGTGGTTGTTGAAACCTGTTATTTTCGCTTACATCGCATAAACCTTCGCACAAAAAGTAGAACAATTAAAATCAGACGAAAGTTTTAAAAATTGATTCATTCCTGATTCAATAATATAAAGGAATATAAAATCTCGACTAAAGTGTCAATTGCGTCAGTTGGAGGTCAACATTGTGCAGTATATGCAGTAAGATGGCAGGCTTACTGCTGTGTGTAACGCGCATTTTATTTTTATTTCTCTTTAATTCGGCCCTTGTATCTTCTGGTCCTGTGAACAAACCAGTACAAAATGTCCCGGAGGCTTTAATTCAAAGTGCCTTGAATTCTTTGAATCAGGATTCTCCGACGCATCATACATATAAGGGCGGTAACCTGATTAGCGCGCAAAAATTGGTATGTTTTCTATCAACTTTCTAAACATAAAATTTTGATTATCAGTAATAATGGAAATTTAAGAATTACACGTTTGCATTAATTTGGATTAAGAATATTGTTTCATTTCTCAACTTTTAGGAAGAATCTCCATATATAATATATAGACTCACATTTGATTTAACTCCTACTTGCAAAGAAGCATTAGAACCTTGTCCTCGAGAAGCATGTACTGTGGAAGTGAAACAACACGAATTGGGAGATATAAATGTTTTAAGAGAATCCATACAATGCATGTATTTGTATCCTCAATCTGTACAGGATGACCCACTGCAAGTACAAGAAAATGCTCAGGATCAAGATCATATTATTGAAAATTTAGATAGACAAATTATCAATAACCAAAGTGTTGAGTTAGATCATGAAATTCAGAAGGATGGAGATCATAGTGAAAGACCATTCATAGCAATGAGAGCTTCTAGCCCTAATTATTGTCCAGGATGTCCATATGAGTTAAATCCAAATTTGCCTGGATTTGTTGTTTTTGGAGAACAAGTAGTGAAATCAATGGATGAATTGATACAAAATGATTTCAAACACAAAGTAGTTGATATTATCAAAGTAACCCGTGCTGTCCCACCTTCGTCTAACATTATACAATATCAAATTTTATTATATATAGGAGAATCTAACTGCTTGAAAAATGCAATAGAACAGTCAGAATGTTCTGTACAACCAAATCTTCCTGTCAAGATATGTTTGGTAACATTTGAAGAGCAACCTTGGCAGCAATCTAGCCGTAAAATAATAAAGAATAATTGCACTATGGATGCTAATGAAGAAATTAAGAACAGTATTAGTTCTTATTCAACATTAAATAGTGAATCACTTGTAACATCAGTATCCAACAAAGAAAAAACAAATTATGAAAAATTTGAGGCTCTAGAAAATTTGAAAGATATTCTTGATAATTATACTTATTCCACAACAAAAAAATTGGAAGAATCAGAACAATCAGAAGTGACGGAACATCCTATTCTAAAAATTTCCATAAACAGAAGTGATGATGATGTTAAACCTCAAGGATTTGAAGATAAAGTAAAAGAATTTGATGAATTTCTGAAAAATTTTGATTTACCTACAACCCAAACTCAATCGATTCCAGAAATAAACAGAGAAGAAGTCAGAGAAGAAATCATTTATCCAAAGAAGGTAGATTCTGCAAATAATAAACCATATTTATATAGAAACAAAAGAGAAGATCTTGTAGGTGCACCTAGTAACGTAAATGTCAATGATCCCACAATAAAAGAACTTGCAAATAAGGGTCTCAGAAAATTTTCAGAAAATTCTGAAGGTTCAAATGAGCCTATAATAGTAGAAATTGTTGATGCCTCACAACAAGTAGTGTCTGGAATGTTATATAAAATAAAAGTTAAATTAGGTACAAGCAGTTGTCCAAAAGGCACGAAAAATGGTTGTCAATTGAAAGAAGGAACTGAAATTAAAGAATGTTTGTTCAGTATATGGTCTCAGCCATGGTTAGATAAAGGATCCCCACAAATTACTATCAACTGTGATTCAAGTAATCGCCAAAAACGATCTTTGCGAGGCAGTCAATACAATCAAAAAATGTTAAAATTAGCTGACGAAATAAAAGATGAGGCGTTATTCGAAGTTTTTATTAAAAAATTTGAAAAAACATATGATTCAGCTGATGAGAAACGAGATCGTTTTAAAATATTTAAACAAAACTTAAAAATTATGAAAGACTTACAAACGTTCGAACAAGGAACAGCTGTATATGGCATTACAATGTTCGCAGATCTTACAGCTAAAGAATTTAAAGCTCGTTATCTAGGTCTTCGTCCGGAACTAAAACATGAAAACGAAATACCTCTCCCTGAAGCTGAGATACCAGATGTTCCCTTACCATCCAATTTCGACTGGCGCGATCATGGTGTAGTTACACCTATAAAAGATCAAGGCCAGTGTGGATCATGCTGGGCATTTTCCGTAACTGGAAATGTGGAAGGACAATATGCAATTAAACATAATCAACTATTATCTTTATCTGAACAAGAATTAGTAGATTGTGATACTTTAGATGAAGGATGCAATGGAGGATATATGGAAAATGCTTATAAAGCCATAGAAAGATTAGGAGGTCTCGAATTAGAATCCGATTATCCTTATGATGCTAGAAATGAAAAATGTCACTTCTTTGAGGATAAGGCTAAAGTACAAATTGTCAGTGCTGTAAATATTACATCAGATGAAAAGAAAATGGCACAATGGCTAATCAAAAATGGTCCAATTTCTATTGGAATTAATGCCAATGCCATGCAATTTTACATTGGAGGAGTTTCACACCCATTTAATTTCTTATGCAATCCTAAAAACTTAGATCACGGAGTTTTAATTGTGGGATATGGCATTAGCAGTACGTAAAATTTTTATATATTTTTTAAATATATTAACTTTTACACACATTTTTACATAACATCATTTTTCCAGAATATCCTTTATTTCATAAAGAATTACCATATTGGATAATAAAAAATAGTTGGGGTCCACGATGGGGCGAGCACGGTTATTACAGAGTCTATAGAGGAGATGGTACCTGTGGAGTTAACACAATGGCTTCAAGTGCTATAGTTGCATAATAAATATATCTAAGAAACTAATGCCTTTAATAATAATATCTAACTTCTCCAAAATAAAATTATATTTTTTTTTACTAATGCAGTACGAATATTAGCCGCTTGTATCTTAAAGTTTTATGTAATATGTTCCAATGATTAAACAACATAAACATTTTGTTTTATAATTAAAATTGCAAACTCATAATAAATACTCCAAAGATATAAAGTTTCCATAATTATAAATGTTTAGTATCGTAATAACATTTTCACAATAAAAAGCATGTTTGTTACAAATATTTATATTTCTTTCTTGATATCTGACATCTTATAATTTAATAATTTGCATAAGCAATCTTAATAATAGCAAACTTTCGAATATCGAAAATTTATTAAACGTAATATTTAAAGACATTAATTTAATAGCGAATGAATTGAAACATCAATTCAAAATGTAATTAAAATTTGTATTTCTTTTATTTTGACAGTTATGAATATATTTCTTTGAAATTCATAAATTAGTGCAAGCAATCCGTTGTTTTTATCAAAAGAATTTATATACTTTTTCAATTTCATTTATTGTAAATTATAAAATTTCACATACAGAAAAAATGTCTTCAATGTATGTGAGTTTTATGCTGATTTACGACAAAATTCAGATTCTAGTTACAAATGCGAAATTACAACATATAAAATAATGTGCATCTGTAACATAAAAATAATACCAACTAGAATTCCTACAACTGAATATGTTATAGAAATGTAGTTCTGTTCTTTGATTCATTGTTTATCAAAAATGTACTGACAAGTTAACAATGTTTATTCCGTGAATATCTCATAGTACGCTTCTCTAGGATATTCAAATATCTATTTTTCCATTTACATATATATCCTAATTTTTTTTAACTTTATTTCGATACGTTCAACGCACATCAGCAAAAAATCTAATATTATAAACTAAGTACGCGAAAGAAATACTTCTTACAAATAGTAGGTAACGTTTATGAACTGCTACTTTCCTGTTGAAGAAATAATACAACGTCACGGAATAAAATTAAACACATAATATTTCATTATACAAATTCAATGCAAAATGTGTAGTTCGGAAATATCTCACATAATGAACTTGTGTTCGTATTGTATGGCAATATTTATCAACTAGCTGTACGATGTTACGTTTGTAATAATACATTCAACATCAGTCGGAAATTTTGCAGTACAATTTTTTGTATTATTATTTAAAATGTATTAAGAGCGAATTTTTCATGCGAATAACTGTTGAAAAAAAGCATCAGTAAGACATTTATTATCATCATTATTATTGTTATTATTATTATTATTATTCGTGTCAGGTTACTGATGTGTCATTAGAACTTGAAAAAATTTTCTTTTTCCTTTTTGTTTTTCATCCTTAGATGAAAAAATGAAGATTATAAAATGTACAGTAGATACAACAACGCAATGAAAGCCGATACAAGACAAATTCTGTATTATCTTCTAGTAATAATTATAAGATCCCCATTGATTATACGGTCCGTATGCTTGTGGTCCTCCTTGTCCATATTGCCAATTCTGATAATTAGCATAATTGGGATCGGAAGGAGGTGGATACTGTTGATAACCCTGTTGATATCCACCTTGACCACCATACTGACCACTTTGAAATTGTTGCTGTGACTGATAAGGTCCACTTGGACCGCTACTATACTGATACGATGACTGCGAACTTACAGAAGGCGGAGGTGGTACATTAGACTGATCTCCAGTTTTAACTTTCTTTGGAGGAGAAGTATCTCTGTAGGATATAAAATTGAAATTTTTTGAATTTTATCTGCACATTAAACATACTTTTATAAAAATAATACTTACGTTTTAGTATCATCACTTTTTGTCTTTTTCCGTTCTTTTGCTTGCTTAATACACTTTTGGAATTGTTCATGAGCTTTCAATACTTGTCGAATATCCGGACTAAAATCTTCAAGAAATTCTACTTTACGTTGCGCAAAAAGTACTCTTTGTTCAAGATCAGCGTGTTCTCGTTCTATAAACATATCCATATATCCTACAATTTCTTGAGTATCAACAGGTGTTCTTTGCATTCCTAGATCAATCAGTTGTAAATAAAGCCTTGGATTATCTTTATCTTTTTCTGTTGCCTAAAAA